TCTATATTTTTCTCACCCGACTCGATCCTCTTTGTGAGTTCCTCGAGCATCTTTACGATAGAGGGATCGGCTACCGACCCTTTGTTGCTTGATCTTTCTGGTGCCCGTTCGATCCGAGAGGCTGTTATTGGGGCCGTTGTACTTGGGGTTTTTTGGCGGCTCTGCAGTTAAGCGATTTTAAGCTGGTGTGCCTGCAACATCTCAAAAATAACGTAAAGGTTGACCTCCTGTTCCTCCCAAGCTGCGGTTTTTTGGACTTCTTGTTGATCTCCTTGATGTATGCTCCTGTTAGTGTGGGAGCTTATATCGATGTGTTGGGCATTGCGTGAGACTGCATCCACGGGAATTGGTTCTAGTGGATTCTCAGGGTTTTGTGGTGGTATACCAACACCTGGAACATCCACACCATTCTCCCCATGGTCCTTAAGACTGTTGTTTACTGAGTTAGACATTTTGACCTGAAATCAAAGATCTTGGACAAGAAAAAGTGTGAAAGATAACCTGTGTTATGTAGTTAAACCAGCAAGAAAATAATCACTACTATTTTTAGCCCACGGTGGGCGCCAAACTATTTACAATGAAAATGGTAATAATAATTAAATTTAATTTTGTGGTTCTAAAAATATGTAACCTATTTTTATGTTAGTTGTTAGGCAATGGATGTTAAGTTTAAAGATTAGAAGGCAAGATTATATCTTAAAAACGATTTAATAACCAAACTGAATGGTTGAAAATCTGGGCCTCGAGCTGTTATGTATGAGGCTTCGAGGTCGAGTTGGGCGGTCGGCTTAGAGCGACCGAGGGAAGACTAACAGTTATGAGAGCTACGATGATGGCTCTTTATGATCAGTGGTAAGCAATAAATGATGAACAATAAATAGAACACAATGAATATATGCAATAAATGGAAGCAATGAGATCAAGAGAATATGTTAGAGATCAGAGAGAATGTTCTTGTATATTTAAGATTGAGTATCAAATGTCTATAAAATGACAAGGATCCCCTTTAAGGGGAATCCCAACGTAGTACAAATGCATTTATTACAAAGACAAAGGGCTGGTACAACTATTTAATGCCATGGTACGGGTTTGGACTAGCCTAATAGACCTCATCAGCTCTAGTCACATGCCTTGGGAACCTCACACCGATCCACTGATGTCACTGATTTACCCTACCTCGAGGCCGACCGTTGCTTACGCTACCTCGAAGTAGATTACTGAGAACCCTCAAGGCCAGGGCCCGAGCTAAGCTTCGATCCTTCAGGGGAGACAGTTTATTCGAGGCGCCTTGGTAATCGTAAAATCGAACCGCCAATTTTTGCCGTATACAGAATGCCTTTTCCACGATTTTCCGACACCGAATGGCCCAAATCTAGCCAAAATCAATTACATACCATAAATATAACTATAAGAAACTAATCTTATAAATGAAATTAAGGTTTAAGTAAGAAATTAGAAAATCGCCCCAAAAAGTCAACCCGACCCCACGTCTCAAAATTGGGTAAAAGTCATAAAATATGAATACCCATTCACTTACGAGTTCACTCGTACCAAAATTATCTAAATCCGATATCAAAATCCGAATCAAAACTCAAAAACTTAGTTGAAGAACTTCTCCCATTTTTCCCAAATTTTTCAACCTAATTCCGAAATTAAAAGATGGAATCAATTATAGATTAATGGAATATAATAATAAATGGGTCAAGAATCGTTACCCAATAGCTTTCTCTGAAAATCCCCCAAAATTTCATCCAAATCCGAGCTCTCTATCTCAAGTTATGTTAAAAATGGCCTAACCCTCGGTTTTGAAATGTTATATCTGCCCAGTGATCCATTCTTCGCGAACGCGGAAGAACCCTCGCGTTCGCAAAGCACAAACTTGCTTCAGTTTAAAATCCTTCACCGCAAACGCGATGGCTCAATTGCAAATGCGAAGATCACTCAGCTCGACCCTACTTGAACGAAGGATCAACATTGCTAATACGTAGGCAAAAAGGCTTGGAGACTTAGTTGACCAACTTCCTCTATGCGAACACGGGACCTCATCGCGAACGCGTACACCAATTACCTCATAGCTTCATGATCGCGGGGCCTCTATCTCGAATGAGAAGCACAATTCCCCTCCTACCTCCAGTTCCTCTTCGCGAATGTAGAACTCCCTTCGCGAACGCGAAGAAGGAAATCAGTAACTGGGAACACCAGAAAATCTGCAATTTTTCACAAGTCCAAAATGATCCGTTAACCACCCGAAATCGACCCGAGGCCCCCGGGACCTCAACCAAACATACCTACAAGTCCTAAAACACCATACGAACTTAGTCGAGACCTCAAAATACATCAAACAACAACAAAAACACAAATTACCCACCAATCCAAACTTAATGGACTTTGAAACTTCAAACTTCTACAACTGATGCCGAAACCTTTCAAACCACGTCCGATTGACCTCAAATTTTTCTCACAAGTCATATTCGACATTATGGACCTACTCCAACTTCTGCAATCGGAATCCAACCCCAATATCAAAAAAGTCCACTTTCGATCAAACTTCCCAAAAATTCAACTTTCGCAATTTCAAGCCTAATTCAGCTACAAACCTCCAAACCACAATCTAGACGCGCTCCTAAGTTTGAAATCACCCAATGGAGCTAACGGAACCGATGAAACTCTATTTCAAAGTTGTCTTCATACAATTCCGACTACAGTCAAAATCCTAGAACTTAAGCTTCCGGTTTAGAGACTAAGTGTCCCAAATCACTCCGAAACCAAAAACTGGACCTCCCGACAATTCACATAAGCAGAAACAAATACGGGGAAAGCAGTAAATAGGGAATCGGGGCTAGTACATTCAAAATAACCGGCCGGGTTGTTATAGATTTAATAAAATGTTAAGTTCGATCAAGTTCAAACAACACCTACATGCCATCAGCCATAATTTAACAAAAGGTCAAGTTAAACCAAGTTCGAACAACACCTATCGGCCCTCGATCGCGGTTTAACAAAAGGTTAAGTTCGACCAAGCTCAAACAATACCTATCGGCCCTCGGTCGCAGTTTAACAAAAGTTTAAGTTCGACCAAGCTCAAACAATACCTACCATCCCTAAAGGCTACGACCAGCTAGAAGATAATGACAAAAAAAGAGCAGAAGCATAATGTGCAAACAACATAAGCAAAATATACAAGAGATAGGAATGGAAGAAAGTACAAAAAAAACCTTTAGGATTCATATGTAAATAAAGAGTTCTTTACAATGTCTCTTGAAGATGCCGGCATAAATACACAATAAGTCTAAAAGAAAACTACTAGCCATCGCCATTACGACCCTCGGCGCCCTCATCATCTCGGTTCCCAGCATCCTCACCACCCTTGCCCAGAGGATAAACTGTATTGTACCAGGCGTCCTCCTCAGGCCGGTCTATGCCCTCTTCCCCATCCTCTTCATCAAGTTGAAGCGTGGCAAGATCATACCTACAAGTGGCTCGAGCTTTGCGAGCCTTAACTTGAGCATCCTCAAAGGCAACATCAAAAATATAGGTTGCTATGTGCAAGTCCTAGAACATATCTAGTCAGGCCTCAGCATGGAACCACTCTTCGTACAACTCCCGAGGGACACTGGAAAATCAGAAGCGTTGGAAGAAAAACAGACGCGCTAGTAGTGAGACCTCTTAGCCTCCAAGTCGGTCGCTCAGTCATGAAGGTCAGAGCTCTCCTTTTTCAACTCCCCGATCCTCTCTTCAAGTCGGTCTTCCTTAGCTCTCATTGTTGATTAATCATTTTCCCGCTCGACCCAATGAGTCTTATTCGCCAACTCGAGGTTTTTGCCTTCCTCTAAGCATCTAACCGGTAGGACTCCATCTTCTCAAGTTCTTTATGTTTCTCGGCAATCTCGCCGGTGAGGGCCTCCTCTTGGAACCGGCACTCTTTAAGTTATCCTTGCAACTCAACCACTTGGGCTTGAAGATCACTGCATTGGGCCTCTACGCCCATGCTAACCTCAAACACCTCCTCTTTACTTCTCAGCGTCTCTTCAAGGATGCTACACTTCTCTATTGGCTGCACCAGCTCCTCATCCCTATTCTTCAAGTCTTCCCTCAGGGCTCGCACACCGTCGCCCTCATGAAACCTACACCAGAGATCCCAGTATTTATCATTGTACTCAGTGTATTTCCTTTTCAACTTCACAAAGATCTCATTGCGCCTCTTCTCCCTCCGGGCGTTCTCAATTTCTAGAATCACCGTCTACAAATCAAAGGAAAAAAGTTAGAACTTAGAATGTTCTAAAGAGTTAGAAAAGGATCGTACAACAATACTTACCCTGAGAGCGAGGCCGACAATGCTCTATGACAGGGCACTGTCATTTGTATCCTTGAGAATCTTACCCTGGACATCATAACAGAGAGGGCCGAGGGCAGGGACTACCTCTTCGGTGTTCACCAACAAGTCACGATCTATCGGGATCATGATAGTCCTTATACCCTCTTGAGCTGGGCGAGCCCCTCGTCGATCATTTTCAGGTCATCTAAGTCGACATCAAAACCTGACTCATTGTTATATTTAGCAACATTCTTCCCCTATCACTAGTAGGTGAAGAAGCATCCATAGCTATTTGGGAGGTTGAAGCCTCCTCTTGTCACGAAAGTGCATGGCCTCCACCAGCAGCCACTTTCTCGGTCTCTCTCCCCTCGAAATGTAGGGACAAGCCTACATAAACTTCTACCATCCTTGAGGCCTAAAGGCTCAGTTCAACATCATTATTTACAGAAATCATTGCTATCTCATGTAACGTGAAACCCCCTTCCGCAGTGTCAATGGCTGAAGAGACTCAGTCATCATGCCTGCGGACCTCCTCTTTCGAGGTTGAAGATCCCCGTTGATAGGTGAGTGTTCATCGTCCTCTTCAATATGTGAAAATAGGGGAAGAGCGAAAGTCATAGCCACCAGAATAGGAATGGGGGCATAAGCGACGACGGCTAAAATTGGGACGAAGACATGAGTGGTAATGGCTGAGGCGGGGGCAGAGGCTGAAGGCATAGTGGCCCTCCTCTTCCGGAAGGAGGGTACGTGTCACGACCCAAACTGAAGGGCCATGACTAGCACCCGACCACACTTGCCGAGCACCAACGTACATTTCATCTAACCTTCATTATTATCTTTTAAGGCTGACGAGATCAATATAAATGGTAGACCTAGATCATGGACAACCAGCAATAAAATATGACGGCATGAACATACATAGCAAGGGATGACCAGACAATCAAGAAACTACGTATAAGGTATGAGCTACCACGCTACTATGAAAGACTATACAACAAAAACTAGCCGACAAGGCATA